TTATTAAATTAATTAATAAAATAAGTTTTTTATACTTCAGTTATAATGTTTAACATATTTATCTTAATCTGAAGATCGTTAAATGTTTTCTCATATAGTGCAAGTTCTTTTTTTTCACGTAATAAATTATTGTTTAGCTCTTCATTATTCTTTTTTTTTTTTTCAAAAAAAAAAAAAAATCATATAAGTCAAATAAATAATAATAAACTGTATAATGATAGCAATAAGGATATAATAGTAATAAATAGTAAAAGTATACTTGTTTAATTTTGTCTGGATTTAACACAATGCGTCCTTTAAGTTTGTCAATGATTTGTTGTGTTGTTACTTTATGGTAATTAGTATTATTCTTAAATATAGAAAGTGCATAAAGAAATCATTTAATATAATAATAAATTAAATTTATTTATTTCTCTTTGATCACACATCCACACTTTTTTCATGCTCTTTTCTATTTTCTCAGTGGCAACTTACAATCTTTTCAATCAATTCAAGTCTAGCAGCTTTTAGATTAGATATTTCTTTTAATAATGATTGCTGTTGTCTTTTAATTTCTCGCATATTACTTGTAAGATTTGCATTCTCTCTCTGATAATTTGATACTTCAGGCTCTTGTTCTTTACGGCATAATCTTCACAATAGCAATAACAAAGATTAATAAAAATAGTTGCATAACTTTATAAATAAACATAATCAATCACTCTAATATTTATTTACTTACTTTAAATTATTTAACTGTGCAAGAAGTGAGCTAGATTTTTCTGTTAGCTTTGCATTAGCTACAAGATAATTGTTCTTACAAATAATAATAATAATAACAACAATTAAATATAAATAGTTGAACATAAACAGCTATCATTATTATGAACACCAAATAATAGTTAAGCTATATATTTACATATTCATCTTCATATTTTTTTGATAAATCAGCCTTGCATTCTTTAAATCTTAACAAATTAATGATTGCACTGAGTATTCCACGAAGGCGTTTTGGTTCAGGTCGAACAATATCATTAAATCCAAAGTCTTTAATACCACTTGCCACCATAATTTTATTACTAAATGCACAATGATATAAATAATTGTTATTATTATACAGAAAAAAAAATATTATATACAATAATATCATAATTATTACATTCTATTGAATAATCCTACTGCTTCCATGCTTTGTATATATAATTGCTAATAGTTAATAATAATTAGTTAATAAATATTACTTATAATACAATTTCTACCAAGTAACACTTGATATAATATTTCTTACTGCTGTTCCATTAGTCATTTTCATAGTTTCGTCAAGTTTATTACACCAGTCCTTCTTGCCCCATGTTTCTTTGGTCACAGTAGCTAAACTGATTAATATTGCTTCATACAACTCCA